ATTATTCCAGCGGCAATGCCTCCAAAACGCAACATGCACTCTATTTTCTTTACACAACGCTAACGCCCATGTGTGAACTGTACTGGGCGGTTGCTATTGTTTTATCCCACATGGGCGTTAATAGGCAGCAGAGAGCCATTAAAAAAGCTTCTCAAATGCCTAGTTTTAACACACATATGAAAGAGCCCTAAGTATTTTCTCTTCCCTTCTCAAGGTGAATTAGTGTGGGAATGCTCAACATTTTTGTAGCCAATGGGGGGCTTCCCTAGGGGATAATGCAGGCCTGTCCACATGCCAGAGCATTGGACAGTGGAGGAAAGCACTGGCTGCTGAGGGAGTGAGGATTAACACAATTATATTACTTTTTTTATCATCCACCAGGCAAATAAGCAGTTAACCCTTACAGTGCAAAGGGGGACCCACTGCAAGGCTATATTTTTTGTTCCCCTTGAGTTTTAAAGTGACACTAAACTTGAGAGTTAAACCTTAAAAAGTGCATTCATGAACCTGAAATATTAACAAAAATGTAGCACACTTGTGTATCACTTGGCTGTAGATTTTTAAATCATCTCTGAATATGTGCCGACACTGTCTTTCCTTCTGGAGGGTGGCTACTATTGTTTCCCATGGACCCTTTGTGTGGTGTAAAGTAGCCACCACTTCAAGCTCGATCCTGCGATGGACTACAATCTCATGTTTACCTTACTAATTGTATTGAGATTGTAGTCCATCACAGGAGCAAGCTCGGAGCGGTAGCTACTTTACAACACACACAGGGACCATGGGGAACAAAAGTAGCCACCCTCCAGAAGAAAGGACAGTGTCCGCACAAATTCAGAGATGATTTGAAGATCTACAGCCCAGTGATACACAGCTACAGGATTGGTAATATTTAAGGTACTTAAATGCATTTTTATGGTTTAACTCCTGAGCTTAGTGTAACTTTAATCAGTGCTGAAGTCGCAGCAGGCAAGTGCTGATAAACACCAGTGCCTAGAAACACCAGTTTTGGTTGAACTTTAATTCAATAAATACTTTGATGATCAATTTGTTTGCTGATTGGTTGTATCTTAGTTCATTTTCAGAATAACCATTTTACTCTAACGTTATTTTCTTTTGCTTATGTATTCTTAATAATAGACCCCAAACCTGAAGGTGTTATTGGGGCTTGAGTGTCACTAAACTTTTAGAATAAAATGTTACCCTCATTTTTATTTAAATAGTGGTGTCAGACTTATTGGATTACCTTTACTCATCTATATTAGCCTCACCTAATTAGTAAGCACCTGACAGAAATTGATGAACTCTGCAGTGGGTTAACACAAATAGCATTTTTCTTGCCAATGTATATATCAGGAACATTATTAGAAACAAATGTTCAGAAAGCGCCCATTTTTCAAATCCTAACCTATTCTTTAAAAATTAGGGCACTTTGAAATACCAGCATCCAAATTGTGGTTTACCTATTTTTTTTAATCTTTGGTTTGTGTACCTTAATTAGATACTTTTTTTCATAACTGTAGTATGTAAACATTTGCACACATTTAGGGTGTATGTATGTATGTGTGTGTGTGTGTGTGTGTATGTTTGTATATGTTCTAAAAATGCAAAGTGCTCCAAAATACAGTGCACCTGTATTTTCCATTCAATGTTGAATTTGCAGCTCTCTGTGTTGGGGTTATTTGCGGTTATTTTAATGTTCATGTATAATTTAGTGCCCTTGGTCAAGGTTTATAGACCAGGTGATTTTACAAGAATTGAATTTGTATTTTATTTTTCCTGTTCTTGCATATGAAAAATCCAATTAAAAAAATCCTGGACCCATCCCAATAGTGCAAGAACAACCAACTGTAACAAATAACAAAACAACAAGACCCCTAGCAATACACAAGATCCAAAGTGTTTATGTCAGCAACAATGAAAAGAGAAATAACGTTGTATGAATAAAAGATAAAACAAAACAAAAGCTTGAACATACCTGTCTGGTATCTGATGCATACAGACTTGGTTCAAGTGCTTAGAAGTTTATAGAAAGGTGAATAAAGTTTTTCAGTGGTTGTCTTATGTACTCTTTAGTATTAAAGCAGTGAGAGAAAAAAAATCTAGCTTAAGTAACTTTTCTATTACACAATGTACAGAACAATGATACACATGCTTCACATAAAGAGTCAGCTAGTAATACAGTATATCAATGCTGTTGAATGTCTCATACCTATGTAGTGGTTACATACATGTGGCAGAATTTGGAATTCTGCTACAGGTATCTCACTGCTGAGATAGAACGAGGCAACACATGATTCAGCTTGCCAGCATCCATACAAATCTGAACATTTGTTGGTAATACTTGGCCTTTAACCCCTTACTGACGGGAGACCTACGCTGTATGTCCCTGCCACTAAGTGCCCAAAAGACTGCTCACGTACACTGTAGGTGAGCAGCTATTCAGGGCTTTAAAATGCCGGTAACCACTGAGAATCAGTGGTTACCGTTCATTAATGGATGCCTCAATATTGAGGCATCCTTTAATGAAAGAATTATTCTTTCAGACACCCTATCGTTTTTAGCAATGGGGTGTCTGACAGTGATAGCAGTGTGGTATTTACCACACCTGCTATTACTGTTTGACAGCTGCACATACCAGGATTAGGGGATCACAATGCCTACAGGATTTTTGCTACATGCTTCAGCTTAGAAACATTTAGCAAAATGTTTCTTTTCTGAAACATTGGGGTTGATTTACTAACCTCACAAACACGCCACGCAAAAACACGCCGATTGCGTGCGCGCGTATACGCTTGGAAGCCTTATGATCATTCTGGGAACAATCAGAAGCCTTTAGTGACACTGAGCCAGACATGTTGCAGGATCAGCATGTAAGGATCAGTTTCACTAGGGTTAATATTGTCTGTTCCTAAGTTTGGAACAGCCTAATAATAACCAAAAATAACAAAACTTTAGTCATAGTGAGATTCATTTACAATGACTGTTTATATAATTGACAAAACAAGAAAAGTGTAAAAAAAAAGTGTAAAGTGTAAAAAGATAAAAATATAGTGTCTAAAATAATAAATGTAAAAAACAAATACAAAAAAAAAATATATATATAT